AGAGAGAGAGAGAGAGAGAGAGAGAGAGGGAGGGAAAAAAAATGCAGAAAAGCCTTTTATAAAGTCCTGAAAGCAGAAAAAACACACACTGCTCAAACATCCTTGACCAGCTCTGAAACCAATCATGACAAACAATAAGGATCAACAGAATGTACAAACTAAACAAGTCCTGTTTTTCTGCAGCTTTAACATGTGTGCTGCTCCTGAGCCTCATGCAGAGGCCTTGGAACAACAGAGTCTAATGGAGTCAGCAAATGAACATTTACATTAATGTGATCTCCTCAGAAATTCATCTCATTAGAATTTTTTTTCATAAATGCAGATTGTAAATCAGTGTCAACATTAGCGTGAAAGGTCGACGATGAACATCTGGTCAAACTGTGGGAAAATAAGCCTCAATTGAATTAATAGTTTGGGGGAAATGCTCATTTGCTTTCTCAATTAGACTTACATGAGGAAATCAATAGAATGAGCAACAGTTTAATCAGGTTGCCTGGCAACCTCACAGTGAATTTACTGCGCCCGCCTGAGAAATAAAGCAGGGAACGCCCAGTGAAAGCACAAATGGCTCTAGGAAAGGAAATGTTAGCCTTCAGTCTCGATTGAAATAACCACTGGATGAATAGAATTGTATTATTGACTGTAAATATAAATTAATGAAGCATCTACTGTCCCTCAGACGATCATTTTTAATTGTTCTGTGTCCCATCAAATAGCATGGAGGAGGTGGGATTTAGGAATGATACTGTAGCTAGCCACCAGGGGGCTATGGAGACACATTGACTTAACTTTTGTGGAGCAGTCATGTCATCCATTTTTATATTCAGGTTTTCATGATTAATTAAATGGTCCCTAAATTATTACTTCAATAAATAATCTCCTCTAGCGCCATCATGAGGTTGACGTGCGGTTTGAACGTGGTTAAAACTTCTCAACAGCTATTGGATGAACTGTCGTAATATTTGGTAAATTCATTTATGTTCAATCAAAAAATACCTGTAATTTGTCCAGTGTATAAATTTATAACCTAATACCTGCAAAATTCATCAGCCTCATCCATAGCAAATGTTAGCATGCTAACCTGCTAAACAAAGATGGTGAACAACGTAAAGTCTCCTCCTGCTATACAACAGCATGTTAGCTTTGTCACTAAATACTGGAATTTACAGCCTCACAGAGCTGCTGCATTGAACATATACAACACAACATGAGGTGTTGGTACGTGTTATTACATCCAGGTTATATTTTAATGGCCGGTTGTTTGTTATTTAGCAGATTAATTCAAATGACAGCACTGATTTTTATGACATTTTTTGGCCCAAGGTAGAAATCAATACATTTTTTAGCGGATCCAATAAAACGGGCGGATCCACGATGTTTTTCCCACTTTCTTTAAGTTGGGGAGATAGGGTGTTGGCCTTTGCTGAGTAATGTGCTTTTCTACTTTGAGCAGAACCGAGCAAACTCTCCTGTTTCCAGTCTTCATAAGAAGTGTACTGATCTTACTGTTCTTCTACTTCCGTATAAGTGTATATTCCAAAATGTCAGACTGTTCCTTTGGGGAAGACAAATGATCCTCGTCTGCAAATAAAACTTAACTATGCCATTCGTTTCAGGATCAAACACATTTCACACTTAATTAAGACAGATGTGGTGAGACAACTCAAGTGAGGAGACGAGAGGCTTCTTCACTACAGCTGCCTCAGGTGATTAGCTTTAATTCCCCTTTTTAAAAATAGCCACCTGAGCTGCAGATTAGAGTTTGCCAACCCCTTCATTACGCCCCTCACAGGTGGGCCTGAGCTGTGATCTTACCCTCTGACAGCGTGGAGTAGGCGCAGTGATGGGAAGGCGGTGCGTACGTCCACAGTGTGCAGCAGGATGAGACGGAGCGCCCACTCCACGCGCTCCTCTCCCCCCTTGGCCATGAATGCCGGGATCCACAGCACACTGCCGCTGAGGCTTTGAAGCCGCTGCAAGAAGCGATCCCTCCACTCGTCACTGACCAGGTCCTGGAAGGCCCGCTGCACGACTGATGGGTTCATGGTCACCAGGTTGGTCCGCCTCCCCACGTCCCAAGAAAATTCCTCCACTGGTGCCAGGTTACACCTTGGAAGAGGTAAGCATTGGTCAGTCAAGATCAGTGACACCAACTGTGTTGATTCTTATCATACAGGAACCATAGGCTGTATATAAAGATGGGTGAAACCAAAGTGTCTTGATTGCTCCCTGGTGGCTAGATGCAGTATAGGTCATAAACTGTGCCTCATTAATGTTAGTGAGTGGGACATGGACCAAACTAAAAAGTCAAAATGAATGTACAATGTATTATTTCTTAAAGACGTTTCATCTTAATAGACAGTCTACGATATGAACAGCTTCCTTGTCATCTGTCCTTTGATCTGAACCTCTCTAACCACACACATCTGTAAGCAGGTTAACAGGTGACTAGATAAATATATCTATATATCTATACACATATTGTGACTATAAAGAACATCTTCAAACCAGCTTGGTATAAGTATTTCATAGGAGACAGGTCCATCCTATTGATGACAATTCTTATCACTTCCACTTTACATTTAGTAACTGATAAACGTTATGATCCATTTATAATGAGCACTCACATTTTACAGATTTCTTTTGATTAACCTGCACACTTGAAAAGACAAAGCCTGAGACGTCTCAGTGTGTCGTTGACTCTTATTAATGAGTTCATTTAAAACAATTAGGGGGAAAATTAGTGTGTGATTTCAGTGGACTCTTGCTCCTCACTGCTCCTGTAGCACCCTAATGAATTTTAAGAGACTCAGTACAAAGACAGTGATTGGAGCCTTTTCCTTCCTTTGTTGAAACTAGGACAAGTAAAGAGGTTTTCAAACAGACCAAGAATCACTTTTGATATAGAAAGATTTTATCATTAAAAGTTAATTTAATAACTGTAATTTGTGTCTCGTGCATCATTAATACACTACTACTCCAAATAATTAGCAAACATGAGGCGTTTCATTTAACAATCAACTCTTAAATATTAAATCACGCTTGTTTAAACACAAAAACTGTTTCAAATAGTAAATAAATATATCCTGTGTGTATTCTCTGAATCAAAGAGGTGATCCCTGTGCGGATGTGTCTTTACTTCTTCCCACTACGATGCGAGGTACCATCGATACACCTGCTCAACCAATCCTGAGTCCAGTGTGAGCTGTCAATAATGACATTTCACCCAATTTTTATAGCATCAAATAACTAAATAAAACCAAACTTACCACAAAAACTAGCAATTGAACATTCATCAGTGTTATATGTACTACTTAAAAAAGCATAGACCATCATAGTGAAAATGTATTTGATGTTTACCTTGATTTTTTAGTTGGCCCCTGGCCTGTTCACTAACTTAAGCCGTTTTCAGACCTGCGGGTAAAATCTGGAGAATTGGCTACGGAGTGTACCCGCAGTTTATCTTTCACACATGCACCCGACACGCTCACAACAATGACAAATCCTCTGCATTATTCAGGGGAGAAGTGGAGAAGCCGGCTGCAGCAGACAGAGGCAGGAAGTGACGTATTAACTCCGCTGCGAAGATCACATGATTTTCTTTACAACACAGAAACCGGTGTCAGCTCTCATTACCACAAACTCCCTTCACATCTTCTTTGTTCCTCGTACGTGTTTGTCTCCGCTTTTTCACCAGGAGAGATTTATTTTCTTTTTCATTTTTGCGTCGTGCGTAGAGGACCCCACCCCCCTTCTCGCAGTGAATGGAGTGGGGGATCCCCTGCTGTGTTCACACATTGACTTCTTCTGAATTTCTATGGACTTTATAATAGGAGGCCAGGCAGTAGCAGAGAAGCAGATAACATGAGATGGATCCATTGTTTTGGAATCAATATTATTGACCTTAGTATCAATGCTCAAGACAAGACTTTGAAGAGCAGTCCGCCTCCTCTCACTGGATAGAGACAAGAGACGCTGTTGCTCTTTTAATGGGAGCTGTCTGTTTTCCATGGCTGCTCATGTTCCTGCCTGAAATCTGACAAATGTGCACCACCAGATGACATATATTTTTTAAAACTGTAATAATTTGCTGAGCAGCGAGTAATTCCTTGATGCTATTGTCACACTGGGCTACCATATCATATAATCATCTATAACTTGCACCCAATAAGACTGTCAACCTACTTTGTGGAAACCAAGCACAGGGCAGAGGACTATATTTAGCTGAGACATCTCTCCATCTCGTACGTGAATGCCAGAGCAAATTCCTCAGCTTCTCAAAATGCCACATCCACTGTCGTCTGCCTTCAGCCAACCATTAGTGCCGTGGCCCAGGCATTATCATCATACTGCTTCAGTCCATAAATCATGACCTCCCCTCATCAGCTTGAGCACTTAGAAAAGACAAGACACAAAGACAACACGCTCAGTTTCCGAATATAAAAAAGGGACATTTAGACGCTATGAGGCCAATACAGCGATCGATCAATCAGCTCGATGAGATGCTACCACAGACGGCTACTTCCTGCTCTCTTTACACAGCACTGATTAACGAGAGGATGGTTTTACATTAGAGATACAGTGCCTCTGCAAATTTGTTAGACTGTTCCGAACTGTGCACACAATACTTTTCCATTAAAATAGACAAACTTTTTGTCCGATGACAAGTATGAATAGTGACAAACAACCCACTCAGTGACTTTTTTGCATGCACTCGATCACAAAGCAGCGCAGGTTGCTGGCTTCACAAACACAGTTCTCCAGTAAAATGAGAGCAGGACCCCTGAGAGTACCGGTGTGTGAATAAACACAGCGTGTTGCTGCTGGATCCCAAAGCTTTTCAAAATGTCAGTTTCATGTATAATCATGCATTTAATTGCTGCAGTTCTGCCAGTTTTGTTTCCGACTTTAAATTGTTCAAAAGCTGCAACAGCGTGCTCTAACCAGGGAAGTGCAATTAATATAATTCCAGCTGTGCGACCACCGACTTCAAACCTGAATCAAACTAAGAACTCCAGAGAATGATTATCACTTCAATGTGAATTATGGTCTTGGTAAAAGTGAGATAAGCCCAAAACTGAAACCAATTTGCTAATCCATTTCAATTACATTTCTCTTTAACCTGCAGGGTTTATTAATTCAAGAGGAAAATTTCCAACCCTAAAATCACAAATTCTGTTTCGGTGAGGATGAGAAAAAAAACAACAACCTGATCACGAAGTCATGAGAGTCGATCTCGTGTCCGCAGCTGCTGTTCAGCAGGATCCCAGAATTCCCCACGATGGCGCAGCGCCTGTGATGCTGGTTCTTCATCGGGGAAACAGTCGGCAAAAGTCGGTAGAGGTTCTCTGAGATGTTGGTGGTGCTGTGGCGGTCGAAGACATAGTGGATGATGTCTCCAGGTTTCAGAGTGCCCTTCAGAATGGAGATGTCTCTCTCTGGATCGAGGAATCTCAGGATGTTCTTCCTAAGAGAAAAGAAGATGAAAACGAGTTATGAAAAACTTGAGTTTAATCGAGTTTAAAACCCTGCAGAGATAATTATGGAGGAATCTGCCTGATGAGGTTGGAGAGCGTCTTGTTGAAGGTCCAGTTGTTTGACGAGAGCTTGGCGGTGTTATTGGAGCTCGGACGATGATGATTTGTTTCTGTGCTCAATCTTGTCAGAGTGGTTGGATCCACGTGTACTGGAGTCTTTCTATGAGACGACAAAAAGTAATGTTATAGATACACGGTGACGATCTTTACAATTCTCATCATTATTTGTGTAAATTTCCGTTCTCTCCCCATAATTAAAGGCTTTATGTGACAGGGTAGTTTCTGCAGTTTTCAACAAGTTAAATTAAGGACTTAAGAACATAATCAATGCAATTTAACACCTATGTCAAGAACAGATATGAAGAAATATGGGAGCCCCAGAATTATTTTCACTCACATTTGAAGATACAGTAAAGTGGTGGAGTAGAGAATAAACTTCGAAACACCACGTTATCTCAAAACTACAGGCAGAGACAGTTGTATGATATTCTTTCCCACAGTTAAACTGAGCGTACTGTGATATAGTCTCACCGGGGTCTTTGGGTAGACAGTTATCAGTTCCATGCTGGATTTATTTTATTACAGAGAAAGAACTACAAAACACAGAGACATTACAAACGATGCATGCCGTCAAAAAACACTTCTCTCAAAAAGAAAGAAAAATCTTATTCTAAAGCACAAAAGAAGTAAAAATAAATTTAACATAAAAAACATCCCAAAAGTCTGAAATGAATTTCAGACTTTTAAAGCCCCTGCTGAAACCCTCATAAGTGCAACTTAATTTAACATTAACATTTCATACGGTTAAATGACATTTATTGATTGCATTAGCGATAATAATGGTTCAATCATAAACTACCCATTTACACAAAAGTATAATTTTCTGCATAATGAGTATTTCAGATACTTTTGGCTACATTTCTTATGTACCACTATTTAAAGGTCCAGAAATTGAATATAAAACATTCCTATTGATGTTTTCACTTCTGTGTTTCATCTCAATTGTATGAATTGTTATTTTCTTTACCCTAGAATGGGCCCTTTATATTGAAATACTTTATATTTACCTCTGGAGCAGGTCCTCTCTACGGAGGCCGCCATGTTTTTTTCATGGATCCCACCACCACAATGATGGGTATTTATAGCAGCTGCCCTCTATACCCTGAGTGTGAATGACTCACTGTGTTAACAAGGCTGCAAAGGAACCAAAGCAGTGCCTACAGATAATCATATGGAGTTAGCTCCCCAATGGTGGTCTGTACGTACTGTATGTGTGTGTGTGTGTGTGTGTGTGTGTGTGTGTGTGTGTGGGGGGGGTAATTGGATTTCATACCTTGTGTGTGGTTTAGGCACAAGCCTCTGCAAGTTTGTCTTCTTTGAATGTCCAGCATTCCTAGAAGAGACAGAAGGCTTTAGATTGAATTATGAACCACACACTGCAGCCTGAATTCCTGCTTGATAATGGACCGATCCTTCCTGTAATCACATTGTGTAACAGTGAATGAAACCCACTGTAGGCTACTCACTAACAGGCGCACTCTACATCCTTCTTTTAAGAAACAGTGAAGGTGAGAGGCACATATCAAGGTATTTTTAGAGCAACCCACTGTGGGCCCATTCGCTGATGTAATGAGGAGAAATGTGGCCTTAATGGAGCCCCATTATACTGTCAGGAGGTTTTTCTTTTCACAGTGAGGTGAGCAATCTTTCAGCATGGTGTTTGAATGGGCCGGCCAAGACGCAGTAACAGTAGCATTGCGTATTCTCTCTACATTCAGAGTACTCAAGTTTTGCACATCATGACCTTGGCCACATGTGGTGAAACATAACAGCAGTGCGGAGCAGAACAGAGAGACATGCCGCTCGGACAGATATGACTATTAGTGATGGATAAGGCTGCGTTTATTGCAGACACGCACTTGGTTCTGCTTCTTCTCGCGCGGTGAAATCACAAAACCAATATGACCTCATTATAAAGTGAACCACAGTCGGGGTGATTGCATTCCAAACAAAGTGTTCTTGCTGAAAGGGAAATGTGAAAAAGACACACACACACACGGACGGACACGCAAACAAACAAACAAACACACACACACACACACAC